ATTTCATTCTTATTAATGTAACCATTTTTAAATATTTAACGTAATGCATCGATATAAAACGGTTCAATGCTTTAAATGCTTGTAAGAAAGTCACTTAAAAGAAAAAATTATCATTTAAAAAATATCAATGGTTTAAAATTTGTGATTTTAGAAATCATACCAAATAAAAATAGTATTGATATGAGTTTTCTCAAACTCTTCAAGAACGTAAAAGATTTACAAAATAAATATTTTTTTTAATATTTATTTATACGCTTTTAGTTTTTTTCAATCTTGTTTAAAGTTATAAGAAATTAATCATTAAATTTTGAAAAATTCTTGAATTAGCGAAAAGTAAGACGAAATTTTAAAAATAAGATGTTGACAAGATGTAAAAATGTACTACAAATTGTAGTTTCGGCACGTTTATTACCGTAAAAACCATGCAATTAAATTTTATTGCTTAATATTTTCTCGAACACAACTTTTAAATTTTCATTAAACTTTTAAGTAGGATATTCATGATACATAATGTATAAACAATATCAAATTATTGTAGAAAATGTTTTTACATAAATAATATAGCATCTGCAAAAACAAAAGTTTATTTATTCGATAAACAAAATTAACATCATTACTCCTTTGATGTTTAAATACGTTAGCAAATGTGCTTACATCAGAAATATGAGTAGCACTAAAAAAATATTAATTAAAAATAACTTCTAAATTATTTTAAGTAGCCTTTACATTTTTATAAGTAAAAATAAAATAATAATTAAAAGTTAAGTATGCATTAATAAATAAATTGCATATAGGATAAATTTTAAAAGTTTTAATTATAATGTATTACATATTTTTTTTCCAACGAGCCATTAAATATGTTAATATACTTTTAGAATAACTTTCTTTTTTCGAATTCTGATTTAACTTGACAGTTTTAAATGTTTATTAAAGAACTAAATAATTTTTATTGCACTTGTAGGCTGAATTATCTTGGCGCACTGGCTGTTCGTTATGAAAAGAACCATTTAAAACATTTAAGAATACAATAGCGAATAAAAGAAGAGCACAGACATATACAATAATTTATATGCAAGGAAATGTTTTTCAATACATTAAGCCAAAAATACAATCTAAAGCGGTTAGTTCAAAAGACATAAATTGAAGTAAATTTATTTGATAGATCTTATGAGTTATAACGTTTCGTAAAAATGTGTCATTCTATTTTGAGAAATAATAGTTTAAAGCTTTTCTACGTTTTTCTACGTTGTTTGTCAAGGAAAATAACTGCTTTTCATCTAGTCTATTTTTGTTTTGATGTGGAAATAATAATGGTAAATTGAAAGCAATTTGTATGTCAAATATGTAAATGGCAAATTCAATTTTTGCTGACATAGAACATTTTATGACGAATAGTTTCCTGAAAATGAATTTTATTTTTAGATTTATACTAAATTGGATTTAAATTCTTCCTAGTCGTGAACTAAACAATGAAAATAGACATTGCAATATTCAATTGAAATCATAATAAATTTCTAAACTCATAGAAATCAAATTGCGATAAAGAATAGGTATTGATTCTTGTCATACTGAAAAACAGCTTTTGCTTATTGATTTTAATCCTAAAAAATGGGAAGTTAGAATATCTTTAATGTGATAACAATTTGTTTATACATCACATTAGAATTCAGTATGTTATTGGTATATGATTAAATCTTCTTTAATGAGTGAATAATATTTATTTAATATTTGTTTAATAGATAAGGAAAGTGTTTTTGAACGTAATGTACAGATATTTTTTTATTTTTTATCTTTGGTGCATTTAATAAAAATCAAAATTTTCTGTGAGAAGCATTAGGAAAATGAAATTAATAAAACTTTTTAATTTTTCTAATGTGACTGACAAAATTATGATTTAATATTGCAATTGCTTACATGATTTTAGTTATATTTGTTCACATTTTAATTCCCCATCAGAAAAACTTTTGCTCGTAAGGAATTAAAATTTAAAATTGTTTTATATTTGTAGTTGCATATTTTAATTAGTTTTTTTTCTTTAAAAATTATACTTAAAATATAACCTTTAATTCCCCAATTTTTTGAAGACAAATAAATATCCAAATAACATATTTTCTAATTTTCATGGAGGCATATTATTTAGTTTCTAAAATAAATCGTTTTTTCAAAAGTTTTATTACTTTTAGAATAAAACAAAATGAAAAAAAAATTACTCCCATATTTGATTCTGAATAGTTAAATATATTATGATTTTTTAACGTTATACATATCATTTTTTTAACTAAATAATTTAATATAATATGATTTTTTAAAATATGATTTTTTAACAAATTGAACTAAAAGAGAGTATTATATGTTTAAATATTGATCATATTTTTAAATTTTCAAGATACCACAACTCTCGTTAAAGAATTATGAATAGGTAACATTTATTGAAATAAATAACAGATAGAGTAATTGCAGTTTCGTTATAAACGTAATAAATTCATATTTGTTAAGTTTGTCTCTTTCTCAATAATTGTAGTTTTCATTATCATAATGTTATAATAAGTAACACATTAATAAGACATCTTGTTTCTAAGTGAATTAGGAAGGATTTGCAAATATAATTGGGATAATTACAAAAATTTAAAAAACATTAAGTGCAATTTCGAAAACAACTGTTATGAATATAATGATATTAAAGCAAGAAACAATAAAATGAAATTACTGATCTTGGTGCTGGTTTGCACAGAAATCAGGCTGCATGGAGCTACGAAAGAGAATAAAAAAAAAATTAAGGAGAGTAACTCATTTTGGCGTCTAACCAATTTTTTAAAGTATTTTTGGAATTATTTAATAATAAAACAATAATAATAATAATAATGAAAATAATTTAAATAAGAAAACATAAAAATAATAGTCTTGAGGAAAACAAAAATGAAACGATTAATAATTAAGTAATTAAGTTTCACACGCAATTATTATTGGAATATTTGCTTATATAGTTTTATGTAAAACTTTTTGTCTTGAAAAATAATTTTAAGACTACGAAAATATGTCAAAATGTGCAAGAAGTAAAAAAAAATCTCAACTTAGGTATTTAAACTTTTGATAACTCTTCTGGAAAAAAAAACACTATTTAGACAATCTTTTCTAAATTTCAAAAAACAAAATTTCAAAACATAAATAAAATTATATAAAAAATAAAATAAATGTCTTCGAGAAAAATCTAGACTGTGAAAAATTCAGGATTAAATCACCACAAAAAGTACAGGCACTCAAGATACCATTACTTTTTAGCGTAAAATCCATATTTACCGTCAAATTTTACAGAACAAAAATCTGATATACCGTTTTTTTACAGTAATATTTAGTGTACATTTTTTGAATTACAGTAAGTAAATAAATATTACTGAAAACTTTACGGACTTTACATAACTTAACTTAACTTAACTTTACTTAACTTAAATTAAAACTTTACCTAACTTTACACTGTAAAAATGGATTTTACGATAAATTGGATCATACGAATGCTGTACTCAAAGTGTAGTACTTTGATCCGGAATTTTTTGCACTGTAGAAATTATAATATCTCGTATTGATGAAGAATATAATGATTAATGAAATTTAAGAATATGAATTATTATGATCGTAGCAGTCAACAAATAATTCACAGAATTGTTAACTTTTACTACATGGGCTATCGGATAATTTTTAATAGTGAAAGTAAACAAAGCATTTTTAAATTTTGAAAAATACTTAGCTTCTACATTAGAGAGCTGTATTTCGGTCAGTTTTCAGAAACTGTATTTTATAGCGCTCATTTTGTTGACCATGGCAATGTATTTAAAATGTAATAATGTTAGAAATCTAGAATAAACCGCTGAACTTGTTTTTGCACACATATCATCGATACAAACAATAGAGTAATAAACACACTTTAAGCATTGATAATACACTGAGTGGTTACTTCATTATGAATACACCTTGAAATTTTTGTTAGAAATCTTTTGTTTTTAATACATTTATGATCCTTCTCTAAATTGGTATCTTGTAGTATTTGAGATCATTCCAGTAGAATAACACTTTCCAATATTATTTAACACGATCTAATTATAGTATTGCTCCTTTAATCTCATACCAAAAGGTTTGAATGGGTTTAGATCTGGGGATTGTGGAGGACAACTCGACAAATGTCATCATTATGCTCCTAAAATCAATATTTTAAAACATTAACGAAAAAGCAGGATGAATTATGCTAACAATACATCTTATTCAGACTGTGATGTATATGACGAAAGGTCAACAGCAATCTCAGAATACGATTTTTTATAATAATATCAAAAACCTCTGGGCCATGATGGCACACTGATTAGGGTACTGAGCTCACCGTGAATGATCGGGGTTCTATCTCAATACTTAATATCAATGAGCTCCTGCTTGCTTAGAGGTAAAAACAGTTTTAGCGTAAAAATATTATAATTATTACTATGATGACGTTAGGCTCTTAATATTGGAGTCTTAAGCTCCTTAACTTACTTGGCCAACAACTAGTTGCTGTGGGAATTCCTTTCTATATTCAACCTTTTTAGACAATATGATGAAGCAGATTCTTAACATAAAATCATAGGGTAGTCATAATAAAGTGACTGTTCAGTATACTTATGTAGAACATCGACATAGGCTTGATGCTGTTATTATGTTTCAAATTTCACAAAATCCATATTTATTTGCTTACATATCATAACAATTAGAGTTCAACACACTCACACATTAAAACACATAGCTCGTTTTGCATATAAAACAGTGACCATTATTGTAAAGATATGACTTTTTTGAGTTACAAACAGTAAATATTCACACGTATAATAGAGGTTTACAAAATAATGATAGATTCTTCAACCATCAGACAAAAGAGTTAGTGACACATTCACCGTCACTCGCGGGATTTCCATCAGCAGAAACTAGTTCGAGTTTTGTGCATAAACTTTTCTTTTTCTCTTCTTTTCCTTTTCTTTACTTCAAACAGCATCATCACCCATCGCTGTAGTAACTGTAGTGTATCTTGTGGGAATATTTGGTCTAGCTTTCTGACCTACATTAAAAATAAACAGTGACATTAATATGAACCTTGTGGATATATTTGGTCTAGCTTTCTGACCTACATTAAAAATAAACAGTGACATTAATAATAATTTTTTTTCGTTACTGTCCAAGTAGTTGACTGTGGTTTATGTTGCGGGTTTATATGGTAGGTTTATCTCAGTTTATCTGATTAATTCATCAAGTATGTGACGTCAAAAGGTAAGTATTGTGTACCCACGAGAAATATTGGTTCTTGTAATGAAAAGAATTAAAATATGCTGAAACATTAGTAATTTATTTATTTGTGCAACGTTTTAATACCACAATGTAATTGTGATATGTCTATTTGATCTTTCTGCCCTAAAATAAATATACTAGTGGCATTAGCACTTTATTTTATTTCACATTAATATTGGTGCTTCACAGCCAATCATATTATATATTGCATTTAGTGTTTAAGATTACATCCCATCCCTGTAGTTTCGAATGCCATCGAGACGGCTGATGAACTCCTCACGTTGCAAGCATTGGAAAAAATGCTTGTTTACAGAAGATTTTTCAAGTGAGTTTTACTCAGCTTTATATCGAATATAAAGCTAAGAAATACGATGATGAGCTTTATGTTTTGAGTTTTTTTAAGTTTTTTACTTAAAACGTTTAAATTTTTTTATTAAAATTGTATCTCTGGTAAATGTCTTTATTCTTTTCTTTTAAAATTTGATTTTAAGTTATTGATATTGATTTTGATCATTCAGAATTTTTTTTAAGGATTAGAAAATTTTCTCTCAGAAAAACTATTGTCGTAGTCTTTATTTTAATTTTTTGAAACGGAAAATGATGCTCATTATCCTTAAAAAGTTAAAATCTACCATATACGATAACTGAACCTACAGAAAGGAACAATATATAATCACAATTTTAATGATACAATGTAATATGGCAGCTATAGTTCAGAAAATAGTAATGATTACAATTATTTAAAACTAACTTTCATAATATCTAAAAATATCGTAATTTCTAAAAATATCTCAATTTTTATCTAATATATTCTAAGTTAAATCTTGTTCTAATCATCACTAAAAAATAGTGTTGCACTATTTAAAAAAGACTACTTTGAAAAGATATTATTTTTATTAACGCAAAATTTTTTTTCCGTTATGATTCTATTTTCGTAATATCAATATATACTTCGTAATATAAATATGTATTTTCATACTATCAATATGTATTTCATAATATCATTGTGTATTTTTATAATATCGATATGTATTTTCATAATATCGATATGTTACTATTAATATGTAATTTTGTCACATTTTTTATTCAATATTTTGCTCCCTTTCTCTTTTTTGTTACAAAGCGTTACACATCACAATAATTTGATTTGTCACATATCAAGCTATATTTCGTAAACATGCATTTTCCGTTTTGAAGCAAAACACTACGCTATAGATCATATTTTAAATTTTATTTTTTAAGTTTTAAACGTGCTTGAATAACGATTGAGAAAAAAAGCATTAATAATAAATTAATTTTAACATTTGGTTTTTTGAACGAGAACTTATTAATCAGCAGATTTTAAATTATTTTATTGAAACTAAAATGAGCGATATCCCACTTCTTGTTAACCCTCCGTAATACAAAGTTTTCACATTTCATGAATACTCTTCCACCCCTCCAAGCACAACATTATTTATAAACATTCCCTTTAACATATTTGAATATTTTTATCAGTTCTTATGTATAATCAATTCAAATATTTATTTAACGCTATTATTACTTATAAAAGCCACATTTTGAAAATATAAATTTTTTAGAAGTTTTCTGTTATTACGTTATTTTCATGAGATTAGCTTTATTACATAAACATACATTGGTGGTGAATTAAAAATAAGCTATAAATACTTAAAATCTTTACGTAACTTTTATTTGATGTCTTCTTAAATAAAAAAGTATACCAGCCTCTTTTATATATTATTTATAAAACAAAAAGCAAGGTAAATCTGAAATATATGATTTTATTGACTTATTATTTTTTATGATGTTATTTCATAATTGTACATTACAATATGCATTATACTTACTAGTTTATAAACAAATCCAAATTAAATTATCATTGCACCTCAAACTAAAAGATTTGAGCTCGAAAACAATTCTATTGTAGTTTTTATTTTAACTTAAAGAATTTAAGTGAACATAAATTTTCTAATCCACCACACTGTTGTTAAAAATTAGTTTTAAAAGTTGATTACCTAAAAAATTCAAAAAGGGTTCCTTTCTTTATATTACCCTAATCCAATTACTGAATTTCAAATATATTGTTTAACTTTTTTATGACCCTGATTAAGTTTAATAATCTTAGTTAATTATAGAAATGTGAGGAATAACGCACTTAGAGAATTTTTTTCCTGAAATCTCCTATCAGTGGGAACATTGTTTGACCTTCTTGGTATTTCTCGCGTTCTGAAATTCCAAATTATATATTTTACTGACTTAATTAGGTATAAGAAGAAAAAAAACTTTCTTGTTTAAATAAAGATTAATCACAACTGCATTAACGTAAATTTGGGTCTAGATACTTTCATTTATTTTCGATAGAAAAGTCTATTAAAATGTTGAAGATGAAAGAAAATATTTCGATTTATTAATTGAATGATATTTTTTTCGTTAATTAATTCCTTGCAAAACCCTACACAATATTAACAAGTAATTCTTTTCTCTTAATTTTGTTTTCTTTTTCTGAAAATACTCCCTATTTATTATATTAAATGCAATTTCCTGACTTTTTTCTTAGCTTCATTATTTCTTTTTGAATTCATATTTAATACAATTGTAAAATTTATGACTCAGAGAATAATATTTGTTTTTGAAAACTTAAAATTATAATTTTAAATATGTTTTATTTTTTTCTTATTTTCACTTTAGGGTAATTGTTACCATACATCTCACAGTAAAAAAAAATTTATCACTGATAATCTGAATATTTTTTATTGCTTTTATCAAAAACATTTTTTTTCTTTTTGTAATGTATTACAACACGCAATACTTTATGCTTAGATTATGAATGAAACTATTTTTAACATATATTCTAATATTTAAATAAGCCAATAATTAATAATTTTCATAATTTGTTAATAATTCAAAGAATATAACACGGAACAATAATTTTATTAAAAATACTTTTATATTCATTAGTGTTTATGAGAAAAAGATAAGAACGATGAAATTTTATAATGACTTTTTTTTGTTAAAATAAATTATGATACGATAGATCTTAGCACTTTATTTTTATATGAGGATATGAAATTGTGTGTTATTAAATCATAAAAAGTTAGCGGAACAACATATAGTTTCGTTACGAAATATTTGCTTACTTATTAAGAGAAGAATTTTCAAACAAATTTCTAAATTCAAAAATATTTCAGATCTTATGAATACGGATGATTGTGTTAAATGATATTTTTTAAACTACACGACTGAACTTTTACAAACAAATTTCTGAAATCAAAAATATTTTAGATCTTATGAATACGGATGATTGTGGAAAATGATATTTTTTAAACTACACGCTTCAGAGCTCACCAATCTAGATAAATCACAAAAAGATTAATTAAATAACATATAACTTAGTCGCTGGACATCTATCATATAACTGTTGAGAATACAAGTGCACTGCATTCAGTTTTGGCAATTTGTTGAACATTTGAGCCTTCAAATTGCAAGGACAAGCATTTAACTCGTAATATCAGAATATCCCAAACATTTTCTGTGTGGTTAAAGTAGATGCAGTGTAAAAAAAAACCCAAAAGTTCTACTAAAAGAAAATAAAAACTATTTTTAAATTAAGAAACTGCTTAAATATGAATAAATATATTTTTTTTTGTTGTTAATCGTTGATCTCAAGCTTTAAAAAATTTCAATATTCTTTACAAACTTTCTCCATCTAAATGACAAAATGAAACTGTAATAAATATTATTTTGACAGAATAAAGCTTCGTATGGAGCAGTTTTTTCATAAAAATTTTTTTTCCGTGTTCTTCAACTTCAATATATACGGATTAAAACTGTCAATTCCAATTCCTGTTTTTTCCATGTAGTTTCGCTCACTGTAAAATAACTTTATCTTTCAAAAATCATATTGAGATTATATTCTATAATTGGAATTATTTTTCGGAAATTATTTTATGGTCTTGAACATTGTTTAAATAACGTTTCAACTTCATCGTCATATGTATACTCTACCGGATTGCTAACTGTCTTAAGATATAATTTTTTCTAAGTGAATTTCCCAGATATTTTTATAAGGATGGACTACTATGTCTTAAATATTTTTACACTTAAATATGATTTCGATAGGTAAGGCTTGTATTTTAAGATTGTTCTTCATAGCCGAGCCCAAGATCTGCCGTGGCTCAGAGAGATCATCTCCCCGGGTTCAAATCCTGGCGTTGACTAGTCATGTGAGTTCTATTCTCGACTCTCGTCAATCGCACTGCTATGATAGTTATTTTACATAGTTTTTTTTTGTAAAATAATATTATTTTTTTGTTAAAATGACAGTGTTTGTTTGTTAAAATAGCAGCGTTTGTTGGTTAAAATAACCATATTTCTCTCTGCAATAGACAATTTTATACTGGCAAAATCCAACGGACCGTTTTTTTTGTTGTTAATTTAACAGATTTTTTTACAGTGTGGCAATTACTGGGCAATTGAAAAGTAACGAGATTTGTGAGTATTCATAAAACAAATCTTTTATTTTCCAGCCCGATGGCCCTTGCTGTTGCTATTATATACAAAACAGGTTCAGGCAACATATTCATTATAAAGATATTTACTGAAAGGTTAAACCTAATCTCGAACAAATAATGGATGTTTCACGTGAAGATTTACTGCAGTGAACGAATCAGTCCCATAGACGAAATAATGCAACAGCTCTTACGTAAAATTGTGTTTTACATGATTTTTTGGGGGTATCTATTTTTTTCCTCTACACTGTTAGTAATTTCATTCAAAATGTATGGTAAAATAACCGACATCAATCTATCCACGGTTACATCTAGCATGGTTTCAAAATCACTAAATATACATTTAACTTTACTTTGGAGCTAGGCTTTTCGTTAGATAATGGGTATTATAGAGTACAGGGAAAAAACTGGTGAGTGCAGGATACTGAAAATTCTTAATGTGAAGAAAATGGAAAAAACATTGTAGTGTCAACGCTGTGACTCGAGCCCGTTTTGTCGATAACAAAACTGACAAATTTGCCCAATAGGCTTAATTGGTGAGATAAAATTCTTGTTATTTAACCGTATTTAGTGAAAGTAGTTAATAAACTGTTGTTTTCATAGTTAACAGTTTGGATACCATCTTATTTATGGTTATTTAACTGTTTCTGTTCAGAATGATACTTACCTTGGTTCAATAATTACTGCCGACAATAACATAGACAATGAGATTCGGAGTCGCCTAATTTGTTGAAATAAAGCTTTTTATGGTTTAAAAGTTTTTTTTTCAAATCCTCTCTTTTATCAAAAAATACAAAACTTTTACTCTATAAAGCATTAATTAGGCCAATACTTACATATGGCTCAGAGATCTGGAACCTAACTCAAGCTGGTGAAAATAAAATTGCCATTTTTGAGAGAAAAGTTTTGAGGGCCATCCTTGGGGGGATAAAAGTAAATAATTCCCGGAGAAGACGATATAATACTGAATTGTATAAAATCTACAGAGAGCCAGATATTGTGAAATTCATAAATATAAATCGAATGAACTGGGCAGCTCACATTTTCAGAAGGAATGATGACTCAAATTTAACGAAAATCCTATTACACAAACCCCTAACGAACAGGAAAAAAGGTAGACCCAGGCTGAGATGGCTGGATTTAGTTGAGACTGATTTCCTTACTCTAAAGGAGAAAAACTGGCGAACAAGTGTCAAAAGTAGAGAGAAGTGGATTCGAATTCAAAGGAAGGCACTGGCCCACCTTGGGCTGTCTAGCCAGATATGATGATGATGATTTGACTGTTTTGTTTGAACATGGTAAAATAATTAATTAAATAAAATGCTATTTAAAAATATTTTCCAAGAAACTTCTAACAATGCAATGAGCTTATTAAAAATTTCAGACAAATACCTAAAATATTATTAGAGTAGACAAACGGCGTACCACATGAAAGCAACCTCTTAAAAGCTTTTCTGAACTTGATGGACATCGCATTGTAGAGAATGGGATTTATCGCACTGTTAATGAAGATCATAGTTTTGCAAAACATCAAAAACCATAGTTCCATGTATCGGTTTGAAGCAAAGGAATTGTAGACCACTAAGAATCTGTAGGGAAACCAAAGAGTTGCAAACAGTACGACTACAACTATAAGCATTTTCACAACCTAAAATAGAAAGATATAAAATTAGTTTTAAAAATGCATATTTATGCGGATTTATTTTGTTATAAATTAAATCCCAGTTGTGTTTTCATCGTCTAATATTATATGTGCTTTTTTTTAGAAAATAAGAAGACCATAGCAATAAATATTAGAAAATTATTATAGTTATATTTTCTCTACCATATTATATTTTAAACGAAATGAAAAACATCATGTTTCATAATTGACGTGAATTAGAGAAAAAAGTTATAGTACACTGCAAATTAGATTTTAAATTTGTTAGAAAAAGTAATAAAATATTTTGAACTCAAAATTCTGAAATATAAATTTTTTGTTTAGATTTCTAAAACATAAAAATAAATTATATGAATAATCTAAAAACCTTTAATAATAAAACTCGTATTTATTATTTCGTACCACCTCTAAATGTGACATAATATTAAATTTCTTATATCGTGTGATATGCAACTTGTAATATATAACTACATATATTATGCGAGGAGAAGTCAAAGCAATAAAATGACAACCACATTTTTGTCCATATATTATACAAACCATAATTTAAATCGTTTATTATATGAAGCTACTTTTTAATATTGTTTCAAGATATATATTGAAAAAAAATTCTGGTATAATTACCGTATTAAACGGTAATCACGCTTCGTGCAAGAAAAGAATAAAAAAGCATGACGGAAGCCTAATTTGAACCATTCATTTGGTAGTTTTCCCATTTATATGGCAACAATTTACTGGAAATTTGGGTTTTCGAAATTATTGCTCTTATTAGCACACTTTTTTTAAAAAATAAAAAAGAGACTTGCCACGCTTTGAGATATGATAAAATTACCAAATTTTACCTTCTCTACCAAATTTTATCCCATATTATAAAATTATATTTTATTGTTAATTTTATCAAAACACTTCCTTTTAGTGTTATTAAACAGAAGTAGACATAAAGGAATAAATCCAACAAAGTTTAAGAAAGAGTTAAAATATTAAGTATTACTCATATCACGAAAATGAAAAAAAATATTTACTTCATCTTGGAAGTAAAAAAAATATTTAATATTAGACAGAAAATAAAATCTTTTAAAATTACAGTACTGTAAAGTAATAACATTTCCAATTAAGAAAATATTTTGATGATAAAAACCAAAATGAATGGTATTTAACCCATTCATTTGATAATTTATCGTTTATATGGTAGCTATTTACCGGAAATTCTGATTTTGAAAACTATAATACTTATTACCACACATTTAGTAAAAGAAATACAAAACTGAAAAATAAATTTAATTAAATAATTCCTTTAAGATATCATGATAAAATTACCACATTTCCCAAATTTTAACACATACAATAAAACAATATTTTATTGTTAATTTTAATAAAATAATTACCAAATCACTTTCATCAAAATCACTGTACTTTTTGTTTTTCCCATATCCTTGTAGTTTTGACCTATCTTTATTTCTCTGTGTACATAATTATTAAAAAAGCTAACTTTTAAATAAATCTTAAAAATATAATACCATTCACCTTTGTGGGTGATAGGATTCATGGAGTTTAAAGATCCACAATTTTATGATTAATAATCTGATTATAGAGATGTGGTAAACATTGTGGTAAACATTACTTCTGAAATAAAGTGGTGACCTTCGAGTTGAAGTCAAGCCACCACGAGATATATGCTTCAAGCCACCACGAGATATTTTAAGTAATTATAAGCATAGAAAATATAAATTACATGCTGTTTTTATAAAATTAGATTCCATACATTAATAATTGTATTTCGCTTTGACGTTAATGATTATTTTTCTTCGTCGTTATGCTACTGGATTCGATTAAGCCATTTTTCAAGTATTTTAACTTCTGAATACTTTGACAAATAAAAGGGCAACACCAAAACAACTCGTTCATTTAATTGGAAACCATCATTTTTAGGATTCTTCAAATAAATCATTTTTCTAGAATTTCATTTCCATTTCCAATAAGTTTTTTTTCTCAATCGTAAGCGAAATTAGACTTTTTTTGAGCTCATCGAATCTACTATTCATTTGAACTCCCAAACTCAATTTAATGAGGTTGTTCAATTGCAAAGTTTTCGGCTCAATATATATTTTTTAAAAATTTGATTTGTGTTTAAGTACATATGCGTGCAATTTAATGAATTCTATTCTGGTTTCTTTTCTTTTAATCTTATTAGCATGTTCTTGATTTGGTTTCATTCACTGAGAAAATATAAAATGCAGCAAACTTGGGAAATCATAATGTGTTATAATTAAGTCTAAATATTTTACTTTAAAAATAAATAAAAAAAGTTTTTTTAATTACACTCTCAAAGTTATTGCAGAATTATAATTTATAGTATTTAATGCATGCTACGTTTTATGAATGGTTTTTGAGTTAAAATCTGTAAATATTCAATTAATTGAAAAACTGATAATTGTATCTGAGTGGTATATGGGAATGCAAGGTGAAAGCAGTTTATGTAGACTCATGCAATAGAAATGCTTAATTTTAAATTTTCCTGATAATTACTAACTACTTAATTGGTAATTTGTTAGATATAGACAAGCACGTTTTTTGGGGGCTAATTTCCGTAATTTATTACTTTTTTCCTATCCACGAATTTTCGAGATGCTTTAATGTTATTGTCGTATGCCATTAAGGTAAAAGGGGTGAGCTTCTTCTTGTGTTCCAATGGCGCAATCTACAGCCACGAATTTGACTTCTGCCTCACATATGTCACCACCTGTTTATAATTAGGACCCATTCATGCATCCATTCAATCATCCACAGATTGTAATTTTGACCTGAACCAGAGAACGGTCAATCTCAAATTCAGTACTCCCAAAGGTATGATTTGTTACGAGAATTTAGAAGACGTTGTGACCCGAGAGATTTAATGTGCACCATTTACTATATGGGAAGTCTTCAGCCGGTGGGAATTGAACTCATGACCCCTTGGATATGAGCTAAAAGCCTTACCAATCAGACTATCCCGACCTTGAAGTACTGTTTAAAACATCGAATTTTTTCCCCCATTTTTTATATTTTTAAATACTTACATTTTAACGCAAATTAGTAATTTTTGATGGAATGCTTGTAATTTATTCACGTTTTTGATAAAAATTTTAAGAAGTTAAATCAATACCAGAAGGAAATTTTTAGGAGCATATCGATGTTTGAGAATAGATGAATAAAAATATATAATGCTTGATAACCTGTGATCAGATTTAACGCTTTTATGCGGAAACCTTAAAATATGGCATAAAAAAAATTTTTTCGGTTAAATTTACTTTTCAATTTTTTATTTTTTACTTACTGAGTGGTAATAAGAACTATAAATTTTAAAACCAAAATTTTAGGATAACCGCCACGCGTTATCCTAAAATAACCAAATAAATGGGAACGGGAATAAATAGGAATGGGACGGGAAATTAACAAATAAATAGTTTAAATACCGGATATGTTGGTTTTATTAACCAAATTATGTTTTTTTACCAGATATGCCATTCTAATGTATGATAATTTTGACAAATTTTTATATATACACTACCGGTCAAAAGTTTGCGAAAATTTTGAAATCTACAAAGAAAAGGTTTATAATTATGCT